CATCTTAGAATTAATAAAATATTTTTACTCAAGGAGAAAGCTCAAATAATTAAATCATGTTGTTGATGTGAGGTGCTATCAAGTCAAATATGGCTCATAGCAATCCTGTGAGCAACCGATCTGAACACTGTCCTATCCTATGCCTTTATCACAATCTCTGACACACTCAAGCCCGTTGCCACAGTCACCATGTCAACCCAACTGGTGGAGGGTCTTCCTCTCTTTTGCTACCCCTTCACCTTCCCAAGCATGATGTCCCTCTCCAAGGAATAACCTCTCCTAGTAACAAGTCCAAAGGACGTGAGACCAAGGTTCATCATCTTTGCATCTAAGGAGCATTCTGGCTGCACCTTCTCCAAGACTTTTTTATTCTGTTGTCAGTCCATAGGAACTTCAACACTTTTCCAGCCCTACAGTTCAAAAGCACCAATTCTTTTGTCTTTCTTATTCATTGTCCAGCTCTCAAATGAATAGCTAGTGACTGATCAGGCACAATTTTATCCTCAAACTGACATCATTTTTCCTCAATAAACTGGAGAGGTCCCTGACAATAGACTTTCCCAGTACACTATGTCTCTTGATCGCCTGACTGTTGGTACCAAATGTATTGATTGTGGATCCAAGTAAGATGAAGTCATTGACAGTCTCAGTCCTTTCTCTGCCCATTATGATATTGTCTATCAGTCTAGTGGCAAGAATTTTTGTGTCCTTGATGTTAAGATGCAATCCATATTGAAGGCTGCAGTGTTTAACCTTCTGTAGAAAATGCTTCAAGACCTCTTCACTTTCAGCAAAGCAAAGTTTTGTCATCTGTGTAATGCAGGTTATTGATGTCACATTTTTCTTCATAGAGTTCATTTCTTTGAATAATTTTCTTAGCATATAGCTGAAATAGATATGGAGAAAGGATACAGCCCTGACACACACCATTTCCTGTTTTAAATCACCTTGGGTCAACACAGGAGAGGAAGACCCTGGATGAGATGACTGACACAGTGACTGTGGCAATGGGGTAGGTGTGTCAGAGACAGTGAAATTTGCTCAAGATAGGGCCGGATTCATAATAAAAAGAGTAGGGTACAATACAACAACAGTACTTCCTTGTTCTGTTGACGCAACAGCTTCTTGGTCTAGGTCTAGGTATTGCATGATGTTAATAAAGTATTTTGAAAATCCCATTCTTCTCAATAGCAGTCCTAATTTGTTATAATACACGTCAAATGCCTTTGCATAATCAACTAAGCACAAATAGACATTCTTCTGGTTTTCTTTGCTTTCAGCCAGAATCCATCTGACATCAGCAAGGATATTTCTGGTGCTAAGGCCTCTACTAAATCCAGCTCAAACATCTGGCAATTATGTGTATATGCACTGTTCTGGCTGGTTTTGAATGTTACCGTGCAGTATATTGCTTGCATGTGATATTAATAATATTGTTAAATAATTTCCACATTCTGTTGGATCACTTTTCTTGGGAATAGAACAAGCATTGATCTCTCCCAGTCAATAGACAAGATTAATGATAAAGAAAGTTAGTAAACTTTTAATCAAAAGAAGAAAATTAAAAGAGTTTAATAAACACAAAATCAACAACAATGAAGAAAAGGAAAAGAAAAATTGGTAAAGAAAGTGATTCAACCCAGAAAAAAAATATATATGCCACAGAAAAATCATCAACATTACAATTTTTTTAAAAAGATAAACCCACAAAAAAGAAAGCAGTTCATTCACACTCATCACTAATTACATTAAATGTAAATGTTTTAAATGCACAAGTAAGGAGAGAGAGGCAGAATGCATTTAAAAACCAGGATTCATCAATGTGTTTCCTAAAACAAACTTATCTTAGACACAAAGATAAAAATAGAATAAATATCAGAAGATAGGGGAAATCTTTTAAGCTAATAATAACCAAAAATAGCACAGAAATGACAATATTAATTTCTAGTAAGATAGACCTAATGGCAAAAATCAATATCAGGGACATGTTGTTGTTGTGTACCATTGAGTCAGAACCAACCTGTAACTGACTCTCCAGTGGGTTTTCAGAGGCAGTTAATCTCACAGGAGAAGACTGCCCACAAAGCAGCTGGTGAATTAGAACCATGTACCTTCAGAATTGCAGCACTGCTTCTCACAATTAGGCCACCAAAGTGGGGCTTTAAAGAATTATTAAAGAAAGGGTTAATTCAGTAAGAGAATAATAAAATGAAAGCTTACTTAAAATACATGAAGCAAACATTAACAAAAATAAAAAATAGAAAACTTCACAGTAATGGTAGAAGACCTTATCATACAACTTTCAATTAAAGACAGAACAACTAGAAAGAAAATCAGCAAAGATAGAGAGGATCTCAGCAATACAATCAACCAACAAGATCTCACAGAACTACATATCTGCAGATTACAGAACACAACCTACAACAACAGTACAATTGTTATTATGTGCTGTCTAGTTGCCTGTAACCCATAGTGACCCTATGCACAGCAGCTCTGAACCCTGCCCTGTCCTGAGCCAATCTCAATAATTCTGACACACCAACCCACATAGTTCCAGTTACTGTATCAATCATCTCTGGGGTCGTTCTCTCCTATGCTGTCCCTCCACCCTTCCACTACATGATTTAAAATCAAGAAAGATATATATCAGGGCTGTATCTTTTCTCTATATCTATTGAATCTTTATGCTGAGAAAATAATTTGAGAAGCTGCACTTTATGAAGAAGTATGTAGCATTAGGATCAGAGAAAGGCTCATCATCAATTTGTGTTATACAACATTGCTTGTTGAAAGTGAGAAGAACTTGAAACACTGCAGAATGTCAAAGAGTACAGCCTTCAATATAGATTATATCTCAACATGCTAACAAAAATCCTATCTACTGTGTCAATTGGCAACATCACTATAGAGGGGAAAAGATTGAAATTGTCACTTATTTCATCTTACTTGGATCCACAGTCAACAAGAAATCAAGAATCATTGGGAAAGTCTATTCTTAAGATCTCTCCAAAGTACTAAGGACCAATGATGTCAGTTTAAAAACTAAAGTGTGCCTGGTTTAGGCCATGTTCTTTTCAATAACTTGGTATGCATCTGAGAGCTGGACAATGAGTAAGGATGATAGAAGAATTGATGCTTTTGCGTTAGGTATTGGAGAACAGTACTGAACATTCTCATGGGTAAACATGTATTGTTTTTTTAAAAAAATTATTAATGTCAATGAAAATTTACAGAGACTTTGGATTTCCATTCATTCATTGTTGCACTCTTCTCCCCTCCCAACCCTCTCCCCTAGTACACTACCCTCTTGGAAAAGTAAAAGAAAAATTCTTTCATTGTTTTACAATCCCTCCCCCCAGGTCCGCTCCACTATGCAACCTTCGTTCTGGACTCTTGTCATGACAAAAATACCTAGTCACATATCCCTCTCAAACAGTTTTCTCCCTCATCTGTTTCAATGCAGTACACATTATTGAACCCATCTTTCTCAGTCTCCCCTCTGCCCACTGTTTTACAACAGTGGCACCATGCAGTACTGGACAAACATGTTTTGGAGAAAGTACAACTTAGAGTTCTCCTTAAAGGCAAAGATGACAAAGCTTCACCTGACATGCTTTGGGCATGTTGTTAGGAGGGGCTATTCCTTGGAAAAGGACACCATTTTTGGAAAGGTTGAAGGTCAGCAGAAGGAATGAAGGCCCTCAGTGAAATGGATTGACACAGTGGCTGGAGCAATGGACTCAAGTATGTTAGAGAATGATGAGGATGACACAGGATAGATAGCACAGGGTTCAGATTTGTTGTGTATAAGGTCTCTATGAGTGATGCTTGACTTGATGGCACCCAATAACAACAGCAGCAGCAGCAGCAGCATCAGTCATTATTTTGCCCACAGAACGCTTCAGTGTTGCTGCTCAAGTCTTGAATTTGTTCTTCAAATGACCCAAGACTAGAAGAGTTGTAGAATGATATCAAGGACATAATTCACAAAGAAAGCACAAAGTCATTATAAAGACTGGGGGGAAAGAAATGCGCCAGATGGATATCAGAACAACTCTGAAACTTCCAGTGTATCAAAAGGAAGCCAAAATGAGGGGAAGGAATGCTGAAGTACAATAGCGGAACAGAATGTTTCAAAAGGAAGCACAAGAAGACCAAGCGGGGGTGGGGGTGGGGGGGGGATTGTGTACCAATGAGGGAGTTTTGCTTTTGCTTTTCAAGGAGAGGAGCAAATGGGGGGG